ATGTATATGACTGAGTTGATAGATATTTCTCTTATAATTCTGTAAGTTATGGTAAGTATGTTTATTATATATGAGCAGATGTAAAATTTTGACTTTCAATACTGTTCTAAAACTGAGTATGAGACAAACAGCTCAAAATTCCCTACTGCACTACTGAGGTTGCACTAGCTTTTTAAAAGCTATTGTGTTTTCCCTAGAATTGTTTCACAGCACACTGTTAATATTAAAATTATTATACTCCAAAATGCTAATGTATATTTTCTATACACAAAAAAAAATTAAATTAGGAAGTTATTATTGTGTACTGATATATGAAGTAAATGCATACTGACAGCAAAATATGAAGCTGGACAGAGCTAAAGCTAATCCAAAATTAAATAGATCAAATAAACTTCATGATAAATATTATAAGTTTTTATAGCAGATGTTTTTTTTACATATTCCTTTGAATTTGTTTATTGCATCTAAAAATCAGAGGTGTTTAGAAATAGCATTTTGTATTATAAATGCTATAACAAAAAGGTTAAAAGGAAAAGCAGTCTTAGGTTTCACTCATGAGCTTTCCTCAAGGCTGACGAATGATTGACATTTATTTTCCTCCCTTCTTTCATCTGTTTTTGTTTATTTACCGTGTAGTTTGTTGGGCTTTGTTTCATGTCTGTCACATTTCTCATACAAATCGGACAGTGTAATAAACAAAAATGTAAATTTGTATATGATCATACCATCTTTTTTTTTCTTGAACTTAGCCATTACCAAAAAGCAATAGTGACTATTAAGGTTCACAAATCATAAGTTAGTATTTCACACTGTATGTTTAGATTTGCAGAGGAGAGATTATAGGCTATATGGCTATGGGAAAAACCCAGTGAAATTGCCAATTCTACATAAAAAAACAAGCTGAAGCACTTGAGAATGATTTACAGTTCAGTCCAAATTTTCTTGTTCTAGAATTAAATACAAAAAAAAAAAGAAAATGGATTTAGAAAAATATGAGGTAAAAGAAAACAAAATAGGTTTATATATTTTGTTTCTAATTCTGAATGTAGCCAATCAAGCTTTACCAAAATATACAGTTTACATAAAACCAATATCTTGTTTCTGTGTTGTATATACCACCACATTGTGTCGCTTTTTTTATTTAATGGTATAGTTAAATGCTTGTTTTTATAATGAACTAATTATTGTAATTTTTTCCACTTTTTGACCATTTATGGAAGTGACAAGATCAGTATTTAACTGCAGATTTTGTGTATGATAATTTCCTTTAAGATAATAGACTTCACCATGTGCATTTCCTTACCTTACTGTCACTTTATCTCGAGTTTGAGGGTTTTGAATTCATTGGTATGTCCACATTGTTCAATACTAACATCCTGTCTTATCTTCAGGTTTTTGACTTACTAGCTCGAAATAAACAGTTACGAGCTCACTTGGCATCAGAAGTAGCCGATAAGAAAGAAGAGTTATCAAACATCAAGGACAATGAAAATGAAACAACGTTAAAGGTACAGTCTATCTACTGTATGATTATATCAGGTAGATAAACAACGATTTATATGCATAAGGAAAAGTTTTATTGATGGTGGAACATACTACGTGTTTTGACAAAACATTGGTCTACTCTTGTCAGGTATGATCAGTACTAAGTAATCCAAAGTTTATATATTGTTAGAAAGAAAGAATCCCTATTAAAAAGAACAAAAACAGGGCATATACATTATCCCGTATGAATGTGGAAAGACATACTTAGGACAAACATCATGTTCTTTAGAAACAAGATGCAAAGAATGCCCAGGTCACATGCACAGAGCTGACTTCCAGTTATCTGCCTTAACATATCAATACAAAACAGGTCACAAATACTTTGAGATGAAATTTTTCTCCTACACCAACCCAAAACTAAAAAAGAAAGAGACTGTTTAGAAACTATAGAAATCATTAAAGTAAATTATCTCTCACTAAACTGTGATAATGGTCCTGGCAAGATCTATTCACTGTTCATACACCTCTACTGTATCCTGTCACCTGCTGACATCATTTTCATCATATTCAATCCCTGTTGTCTTTGCAACAAAATACGTAGTAAGTTCCACCTTCAATAAAACTTTTCCTTATGCTTATAAATCATTATCTGCCTACCTGTTATTATATTAGCATAATGTATTTCCTTACTCAAACACTATATGATTAATTAAAGCAACATGTCTAGGAACCAGAAGTGCCCATGAATCATCTAGCTATCTATACACACGGTGACATGAAGTAGAATTAGTAACATTGATACAGTATCCAGAAGTGATAGTTCATTCTTACATACAGTAGTTCACAGCCCAGTGTTAAATAGAAGGTGTCAATGAAATAATTAATCATAAGTGCAGAAGTTCAGTCACTTTCTAAATTCAGTAAGCACTAATTCTTGTGTCCCATTTCTTATAAAGTAAGCTCTGTGGCCACAATGATCACTAAAGCCATTCAGGAAACTTAATTTGTAGTTATTAAAACATTTAGTGCACACCATACATTGTGTGATGCAAATATTAACTTTGTAATAGTTTAAAAACTTTGTATATATATAGGTAAACTTTTAGATGTTATGTAAATTGACTGTGAAAAGTGTATCATCTGAATGGTAATATACAGTAGTGTAACAAGTACAGGATGTAGTGGAGACATGTACAGTAGTGTAACAAGTACAGGATGTAGTGGAGACATGTACAGTAGGGAAATAAGAGGCGGAAACTTTCCAATCAGTCAATCAAACAACTACATTACTATTCCAGACAAATGTGGTAACATAGTTAAGGATGCAGAAGAGCTAAAGGAAAAGGTGTTCCTTAATATTTGTCAAAATTATTAATGGTTGTGTAAAAGAACAATTCTTTCACCTTGAAATGATACTGTTCATGACATAAATGATCAATTATTGGAAAAGATTTCTGCACAGGAATTCACCTACAGCTCAGTTGTCAGTGTTCCAGTTACAGTTGATGCTTTAAATCACCCAACTGAATTCCTAAATTTGCTTGAACCACCAGGGATGTCAGGTCACATTCTGAAGTTAAAGGTTGGTTCACCAATTATGTTGTTGAGAAATCTTGATCCTCCAAAATTATGTAATGCTACAAGTTTAGTTGTTAAGTCTTTACTGCCTCATGTTATCGGAGCAACAAATACAACTGGTCATGCCAAAGGTGAAGATGTCTTCATTCCAAGAATTCCTTTGTCCTTTGCTACCAAGTGATTACTCCTTTGAATTTGGAAGTCTCCAGTTCCCAGTTACAATTTGTTTTGCAATGTCAATTAATAAGGTACAAGGTCAGGGTTTAAAAGTTGCCGAATTGTTCTTAAAGCAGCCTTGCTTTTCACATGGTCAATACTATGTAGGATGTTCAAGGGTTGGATCTCATCAAAACCTGTTTACATTGACAGAAGAAGGAACAACAGCCAAAATGGTATATCAAGAAGCTTTAATTTAGATTGTGTAA